CCCCACACACACACACACACACCGCACATGACTTTCACAAGTTTCTCTGCGGATTTGGGCTCCTCTCAGCGAGCGCACTCCAACCCCATCTTCAAAAACAAAATAAAAAAATTCCTGGGATGTTTTCTGGCTCGTCTGGTTTTGCCGGACGGACCCCCCCCCGTTCGTCTGGCCCAGTCCATCTGGGCCGGACGTCGGCATAACCCAGAAAAAATGTGTGTGTGCGCGCGCGCGCGCGAGAGAGAGAGAGAGAGAGAGAGAGAGAGAGAGAGAGAGAGAGAGAGAGAGAGAGAGAGAGAGAGAGAGTGTTACATGCTGCGCCTGCACATGGGCCCCATTTTGGGGGCCCGGCGGTTGCTGGGGGCCCCCAGGCCGCATGCCCTTCCGACATGCGCCACGGCGGGCCTTAGGGCTGCAGGATTCGATTTGAGGCAGCATTCATTTATTTATTTATGTCTGCTCAGGCATCGTTTCAGCCTTGTAGTTCGTCCGAACAGACTTTCGGTCTGTTCAGACAAAGGCCACGTTTTGGGCCTTCTTTGTTCACAGGCAGGCCCTTTCGGGCCCGGTTTGTATTCGTCCAGCAGCGGACACTCCCTGCTGCATCAGCAGGGAGGGCCTGGATGCCCAGTAGGGACCCAGGCAGGCCGTTTCAGGCCAAGGACCAGAGGCACACCAGCGAGGCCCAGCACGACATATAGCTGGGCCAAGCCAGGGCCGACATACAGTTCGAGTAGCTCACTTTTTAGGCGACACGCTGCTGGAGCAGTGCGACACAGCGCTGCGCTAGGTAGAGGTAGATGCAAGCTAGGAGGTAGAGAGGAGGGAGAGAAAGGCGGAGGCCATACCTGCAGTCAACGGAGGATGTTACATGCTGGGCCTGCAACAGGTTGCACGGGCCATTTTCAGGCCTGTGTCGTTTTCAGCCCGAAAGCCTGAAAACAAGGGCCCACAGGCACTGTGTCGTTTCAGCCTGAAAGCCTGAAAACAAGGGCCTGGAGGCCCTGTGTCGTTTCAGCCTAAACTGGGCCTTTCCGGCCCTGAGTCTTTTCAGCCTGAAACTGAGGGCCATTTTCAGGCCCTCATAAGATCGACCTGCCCTGAAACTCAGGCACCAGACCAGGGTTTTAGCACAGGCCATTTTGGGCCTGTTTTCAAGACAACCCTTGGTTGAGCTTCAGCGCCAGGGTCTGGCACGTTTTGGCATTGGCAAGAGCAGCCTCCTGGACGGGCCAGCACTATATAGGACTGGCCCGCCCTGCAGGCTGCAGGTAGTTCCTAGGTACTTCCCAGACACTTCACGTGCAGTTCAGGAGGCAGGAGGTAGTCTTCAGGATTCAGCAGCTGCAGTCTGGAGGAGCGCTGCAGGAGTAGTAGTAGTGCTAGCAGCTATGAATCCCCCTCGGCCGCGGACGTCCGCGGACCCGTCCGCGGCCCTGCGGACGCGTCCGCGCGGACCCGTGGCGGCCGAAAGGGAGGTCCGTTCAGAATTCCGAAAACGGCTCCCGGTGGCGCATCGGCGTCCCTAGGCCTGCGTACCGGAAAAAAAAAAAAAAAAAAAAAAAAATCAGTGGGGGTCATTTTGGTTCCCTATGACCCCCCCAAAAAAAATACCCCCACCCCCTTTTTGCGATTTTGTCGAAGCGGGGGTGTTCGACACGTCGCAATGTACGTGTCGACGGAAAAAAAAAAAATTTCCGGCGGTGGTTGGGGGGTTGGGGAGGTGGTTATTCATTATGGGCTTTTGTTGCGTGTTGGGGTGGCAAATGGGGTGGGTTGGAAAAAGTAGGTTGGTGGGGCCCGTTTGGGGGGGGGGGGGCGTTTGGCGAAATTGCCGTCGGTGGGGCCCATTTGGGTGGGGCCGGTTTGGTGGGGCCCGTCTGCTGGTTATCTCATCCCATTTGGTGGGGCCCGTTTGGGTTGGTGGGGCCCGTTTGGCGGGGCCCGTTTGCTGGTTATCTCATCCCATTTGGTGGTGCTTGTTTGGGTTCGTGGGCCCCGTTTGGGTGGGCCCCGTTTGCGGTGTGGGCGGCCCATTTGGTGGAGCCCATTTTGGTGGGTCCCGTTTGGCGGGGCGCGTTTGGTGGGGCCCATTTCGGTGGTGCCCGTTTGCGGTGTGGGCGGCCCGTTTGGTGCGGCCCGTTTGGTGGGGCCCGTTTGGTGGGGCCCATTTGGGTAGTGGCTATCTCATCCCATTTGGTGGTGCTCTTTTGGGTGTGGGCGGCCCGTCTGCTGGTTATCTCATTTGGTGGGGCCCGTTTGCGGTGTGGCCCGTCTGCTGGTTATCTCATTTGGTGGGGCCCATTTGCGGTGTGGCCCGTCTGCTGGTTATCTCATTTGGTGGGGCCCGTTTGCGGTGTGGCCCGTCTGCTGGTTATCTCATTAGGTGGGGCCCATTTGCGGTGTGGCCCGTCTGCTGGTTATCTCATTTGGTGGGGCCCGTTTGCGGTGGTGCTCGTTTGGGTGTGGGCGGCCCGTCTGCTGGTTATCTCATTTGGTGGGGCCCGTCTGCTGGTTATACCATCCCCTATTTGGTGGGGCCCGTCTGCTGGTTATCTCAACCCATTTGGTGGTGCTCGTTTGCGGTGTGGGCGGCCCGTTTGGTGGGGCCCGTTTGGCGGGGCTCGTTTGGCAGGGCCCGTTTGGTGGGGCCCGTTTGGGTCGGGCCCCTTTGGTGGGGATCGTTTGGTGGGGCCCGTTTGGTGGGGCCCGTTTGGGTGGTGGTGATCTCATCCCATTGATCTCATCCCATTTGGTTATCTCATCCCATTTGGTGGTGCTCGTTTGGGTGTGGGCGGCCCGTCTGCTGGTTATCTCATTTGGTGGGGCCCGTTTCCGTTGTGGCCCGTCTGCTGGTTATCTCATTTGGTGGGGCCCGTTTGCGGTGGTGCTCGTTTGGGTGTGGGTGGCC